ACTCACAGCGATCATCTTGCCTCAGCTTCCCAAGTGCTAGGATTACAGGCATGTGCTACCACGCCCGGCTTTACTCTGCCATTTTTAATTTCCTGCAATAGCTCTAGAATTACTTTTTCTTTTTGCTGTGCTGTAGATTGAACCCAGTGCCTCATGCATGCTAGGCAAATGCCTTGCAATTGAGCTATACCTCTAACCCTAGAACTATCTTATAAAACTGAGACCCTAAAGTCATTTTCATCTTTCAAAACTGAAGTCCCCTAATCATTGAGCAGCATTTTCTCCTGTCCATGCTTCTGGCAGTCACCATTCTACTTTTGATTTCTTTGCGTTTGACTATTTTATATACCTTATATGAGTGTAATTGTGCAGTTTTTATTTTTTATTTTTTTGAATAGCTTACTTCACTCAGCATAATGTCCTCTGGCTTATCCATGTTGTAGCATGTAATATTATTTCTTCCTTTAAGGCTAAATAATAATCCATTGTATGTATATATTATGCTTTCTTTATCCATTCATTGTCATTGAGTACTTGAATTGCTTCCTTCTCTTACATGTTTCAACCTACTCTTTATGCATCATGGCCAATTCAAATGCCATCTCCATGGCCTTCATCATCATTCACCCAAAATAAATTATTCTTTCCTCCAAGCTGTTATTTTATTTGTATCCTTCGTAGTAAATATGTAAGTTTCTGCCTTGCAAGTAAATACCTCCTACAGATGGAAGGTCCTAAAAAACAAATCTCTGGCTAATTCGTCTTTGTACAGTAATTCTTCCTGATTCGTGATTTAGTTTTAGTTATCCTTGGTCAACTGTGCTACAAAAATATTAAATGGAAAAATCCCAGAAACAGACAATTCACAAGTTCTTATTAATACATATTTATAGTACATAATATTTACATTCCTTGTGTAGAATTGGTACGTGTACATAACACATCTTAATTCCTTTTGTCATCCCTTATCCCTCCCTCTTCTCCCTCTCTTCTTTTCTGAACAGTATGATGAAATCTCTTACTATCACCCCAAGGACGTGATGCATCCCTTTGTGCAGTATATCCATACTATATCAGCTTCTGCCCATTGGCAATTGAGAGACAGCCACATTCATATAGCTTATAGTATATAGTTATTATTATTCTATGTTATTACTAGTTAATTTCTTACTGTACCTAGTCTATAAATGTTATCATAGATATATATGGGAAAAAACATAGTTTGTAAGTGTTCAGTACTACCAGAGGCCTCAGCCATCCACTCAGGGTCTTGAAACATAAGACTATCAGATGGAAAAGGTATACTGTCCAAAAAACTAGTAAACTAGTGCAAAAAAACTAGTGAACTAGTCAGTTTAAGCAAAAAGAAGTTACAGATTTCTCTTTATTGTAGTAAAATTTCAGTTAGATGATTATGACATAAACTTTGCCATTTTTAGTGTACAGTTTTGTGGCATTTAGTATATTTACATTATGCTGCAGGTTTTATTTCTAACTGGACTTTTGACTTCTCTTGTAAATGGGCCAGCACACTTGTTTTGAAAGTGGGGATTTGTGCAAGAAAAAGGTAGTATTTCTGAAGAAGAGTTTTGTGTCTTAGTAGAATATTATACAAACTTGTCTTTTTAAATTTTTTCCTCTATTTTGTGGAATGTGCTACCTCATCCTCCTTCTTTCCTTCTCTCCCTCTTTTTAGAGATGTTCTCTACAAGTTAGTGTTAATTTCTTCCATAATCAGTCTCTTTTCAAACCTGTGGCGATAGCTTAGGTGTATGTTTTTGAGTTACAATCATTTAACAGATCTCCCTGTAGTATGAGTTGTTACTATCTCTGAGACACATAGCAGAGGGTTGAGGGAATGATGCATCGTAATGCTAATCTCGGTGTCTTGGCAGACTAACGTTAACATGAATTTTTAGCTCTTGAGGATGAAAAATAGTTTCACCGTTCACATTCATCTTTAATAAATGTCGAGCATTTAAACACTTTTAGTATATGTTATGGAAGAGCTTGTTCAGAATTTTCTAAAGGTTTATACATTGAATTCATTTCCTTTTAAGGAGAACGTTAAATATAAATGATTTCCAACTGAAAGCAGTAGAAGAATAACAGAAGCGTTATGTGGATGGCCCCTGATGCTGATTCAGCTTGTGATTTTTCAGCTTTACCATGCTGTGGAAGCAATACACATTCAGTAGGAACTTCACTTTGAATTTGGGCTTCTGTCATTTCCTAGGTCACTAACACATGGTGTAGTATTCTTTTGTGATGCTGGGCAATGGTAGTGGGCCAGGCTTGCAAGGCAGACATTTGACAAGGAGGGTAAACAGTTGATATAGTGTACTGTGTCACTAAACTGTGATGTTCTGTAAGTTAAGTGCCTTAAATGCATTTTTGACATATTTATTTTAGGATGGATTTATTGGGGGTATAATCTCATAAGTCAAGGGATATGTGAAGTCTAGGTTTCTTTAACTCCCTACCATTTTGCTGTGATTAACTTTCTGTATTCATAGTTCCTCGGTAGATTTTCCTCATAGCCATGAGTATAGAATATTGTAATAAGTAATGCTCGTAAATGTCAAGAGACCTGAAGGCTGAGGTAGTAGCACCCTTTGTATGGTTCAGAAATTTTGAGACCTAACACTAGTGCATGGGAATGTGTATATTACTATGTACTAGACTTTCTGAATGTTTTTTCTAAAACACATAATGTGTGATGAGTCCAGTTAATTAAACAATAAGCTAGAAGATTTGAGATCTGGCTTAGCTTTCTGCATTGCGGAGGAGGGGTACTGGGAATCAAACTCAGGTCCTTGCACTTGCAAGGCAGGCAGCGCAACCACTGAGCTAAATCCCCGGCCCACCTTTCTGCATATTGTTAGATTTGACCCTCTGCCAATGTTTTATCTTTTATTCTTGAAGGATTTTGAGGGTAAAATATGGATAATACATCAAATGATTTGTTATTCTTATGTGAATAACTATAATCTATTTATCACAGTATTGAGTTTGTCTTATAATATCCAACTTAATATGTGCTCCCTTAAACATAATCCCTTTAATTAGTGTAGAGATTTTTTAAAAAAACTTTAGATGTATTTGTGATGATTTTTTCAGTTGTTTTAATTGGTCACCATCATTTTTCTCTTCATCAAGGTCAACAACAGAGCTGTATTTCAAACATCTGTCCTGTTAACAGTGAAATGATTGCATTAAATAAGCGAGGCCTGTAAACATCTACATAGTGCTTGGAGCATAAGCTTTACTTAGTTAATGCAAGTTCTTCCCCTTACCTTTCAAATGAGGTTATTTGCTGAATGATTCCTGCAGCCTCTGCTGGTGTTTTGGATCTTTAGGGAGAATGAAAAGGTTTGATGTGTGCTTCTTGAGAAGAATGGTGCACTAGGCAGACACCAAAACTCCCTGGCCATTTCTCAGGAAAAAAAAAAAAAAAAAAAAACTGAGCAAGAAAGCTCTAAGTAGTCTATATGCAAAGGACTGTCCTTAGCCATTATATTCCATTGTTATAGAACTTTTAAGTCACAAGCAAAATCAGTAAACAGAGTAGGGTCCAGATCATAAAATAGCAACCACTTTTACTGAATTTTTACTTGTGTCATCTATTCTAGAGAGAAGGGAATAGGCAGCTATTGATTGTGCTAGGGAAGGAGCTCAAAGCTGAGGTGACTGTCTCAGTTTGCCTAATAAATTATATAGTCAAGCTACTAATGTGGAAGATGGTATTAAAAAACTAGAGGATGTAACTGGGGTTAGTGGGACCTGACTTTGTTTGGGAGTGGACAAAAGAGACTTTTCTAAGTAAGTGCCTCTATTAGAAGAACGTGAAGAACCAGAAAGAAATATTGATGAAAAAGTTCATGCTGTCATTCACATCAGGGTCTTTGCACTGCTCCTGTCCCCTCTCCCTGGAAGGGGAAAAAGATAGTAGGTAGCAATCTGTGAGTCAGGAAATTAGTTTTTGAGTAGTAATCTGTTTTCTAAATGTATGTATAGTAGAATATGTATAGTATTCTATATGTATATAATATTTATATAAGTATAGTAGAAAATATCTAGAGCATATTGTATGTAGTAAAAATGTATATATCATGTATGTACATGTCCACAGTATAAGGTATATTTTTTACTGTAGGTGATGGTTACAGTATCTTAAAAATTTTTTGTTAGAACAAGTAGGAAAAATTTTCAATTATTTAATATTTAGAGAAAGGGAAAAGAATAGGAACATGGTTCCAGTTGAGAAAGGACTAGATTATTCAAGACCTTGTAAGATAAATAGAAAGTGAACAGTTCTTATTTGGCCATCATTTTATTGTTATCATGACTAAATATGGGGGACTTTGGGAACTAGGGTTAAGTAAGAGCTTCTGACAAAAGCTATACTCCTTTAATAAACATTTAACATACTCTTATCTGAAATGTAGGCTTAATAATGCCTCATGGAGTTACTATGAGCAGTAAATTAGCTTATCTGTGTTATTCACTCAACATGTTGCAGTGACTTTATTTTTACCTTCACTTCTTTACACCTCTACCCTGTAAAGAAGATGCTTTTTTTTTTTTTTTTTTTGGTACTGGGGAATCAAACTTGGGACCTTGTGCTTGCGAGGCAGGTGGCAGAACCACCTAGCTAAATCCCTGCCCTGTTTGTTTTGATCATAATGTTAGTTATAATCCCAGAATAAATAAGAATTATAGCTGACTTAGTTTCTTTATATTTGAAAATTACTACTCTCATTTTTTAAAACTGCCAGGCTGTTTCTATAGAAGAACATGATGTTGACATAATTCTGAAATTGTGAGGTTATATCTATATCCTAATTTTAAAATAAATCAACACAGAATCTTATCTTTCCTTCCCCTGCCCTCAAATGTAGTACTATTTGTGTAGTCATGTGGGTTTTTTTTCAAAGTAGAGAACACCAACATGGAATAATATTTCCACTTATTTCTATTAATTTCCGTCCCTCCTTTAGATTTCACCACCCAATCCTCAGTCCTTTGGAGAGCAGTTTCCAGCTGGAAGTCGATGTCTTGAGTCATCTCCTGAAGGCGCAGGCTCAGGTCTCAGAGTGGAAGTTCCTCCCTTCCCTGGTTAACTTGCACAACGCTCACACCAAGCTGCAGACCTGGGGCCAAATCTTTGAAAAGCAGCGAGAGACCAAGAAACATCTGTTTGGAGGACAGTCACAGAAGGCTGTTCAGCCCCCACACCTTTTCCTTTGGCTGATGAAACTCAAAAACATGCTCCTGGCCAAGTTTAGCTTTTACTTTCATGAGGCACTGAGCCGACAAACTACTGCTTCAGAAATGAAAGCGTTGACTGCAAAAGCTAACCCAGACCTTTTTGGAAAGATTTCCAGCTTCATCAGGAAATACGATGCTGCCAATGTGTCCTTAATTTTTGACAACCGAGGTTCAGAGAGTTTTCAGGGTCATGGCTATCATCACCCCCACTCCTACAGAGAAGCCCCTAAGGGTGTGGACCAGTACCCAGCTGTGGTGTCTCTGCCCAGCGATAGGCCTGTTATGCACTGGCCCAATGTCATCATGATCATGACAGACCGTACATCTGACCTGAACAGCTTGGAGAAAGTGGTCCACTTCTATGATGACAAAGTTCAGAGCACCTACTTCCTAACCCGCCCAGAACCTCATTTTACCATTGTGGTCATTTTTGAGTCAAAGAAATCTGAGAGAGACTCCCACTTTATTTCTTTCCTTAATGAGCTCTCACTTGCTCTAAAGAATCCCAAAGTTTTTGCAAATCTAAAACCTGGATCTAAAGGTTAGCAGGTGACTTGTGTGAAAGAGTCTCAAGACTAGAAATTGTTTTTAATAGAAATTGTTATGATTTACAGTGGTCTGTGATTAGAATTTACATCCACTCATGCTTTTGTCATAGCTAAATTAAAGACAAATCCTCCCTAATTGTGTTGCACACTTTATAAGTAATTAAGGCCAATTGAATTAAATATCCAGAGAGTAATCTAGGAAATGATCGTGGGTTGCTGTGTGTATGCATGGTATAGCAAAGTAGTTTTGGTATTTTCTCCTATTTTCCTATATTTCATTTAGACTCTATTTAATGATCTTTGATCTTTCCTTCCAGATGTTTCTTACTATTTTAAATATTATGTTTTAATGCATTTCCAAATACCCCTCTCTTTCTTACTTTCCTGGAAGAGTAATTGGGGTAAGATATTAAATGAGTATGTTTTCTGTCTTGTAAAAGTAGCCAGTTAACATGGAGCTTTTAGTTTTATAATTCTGATACACAAATTAATAATATTTTGATGCCACATCAGGTTTTAACAGTTCAAAGACCTTCATGGCAGCTTTAATGGCTAATAGCTTCTTTCAGAATAAAAGAACTAATTCATACGTTTTTACCGTTCTAAGGTTAGAGTTTTTCACTGTCAGCATAAGCCATTATAAGGGTTTCCGCATTCTTTAGCATATATTTCCCTTAATTTCTGTTTATCACCCTCCTGTTAAAATATATGTTCATGTTTGACTCTACTTCTAGTTATTTTCAGGCTTAGAAAGCATGTGGTTTTGGTTTTTCAGTCATTTTTAGTTTGTCCCACAACAGAACCTACTTTTATAAAATCAAAATGAAGGTCTTTTGATACCTTGCACTTGCTAAAAATCAGTTGTGCTTTAAAAAAGAGCTCTTTGTAGTTGAGTAATCAACTCAGTACCTATGCACATTTGAAGTTGGGTTTCATGTTTGCCCCCTACAATTATGCTTATAATCAGTGCTCCACCCTATCCTGCCTTACCTTTTTCCTCTGGTAGGTGTTCATGGGGAAGTAGATCAGTGACGGCATCATAGTCTGTGAAGACCTTCACTTCTGTCATTGGTTCAGAGTCACAGTGTCCACAAAGATAACTGAATTCTTACTGCCTGATAGTTCCTTCAAAGCTTGTGTGAAATGTAAAGGCCAGATCAGTCTTGTTTTTTAAGATCCCATGGAGCTATTATTTGGGGGTCCGTAGCAGGCAGGGAGGGGAATCAACACAGCTGAGACTCAGTATGGAAGGTCTGCCCACCTCAACGAGACTACCTGGTAGAGAAACGCACTGGCCTCTTTTCTGGAGAGAACATGTATCTTCCCTTTCTTTATTCCTTTCTCTCTTTTTCATCATATTATTTATAAAAAGCTAGTTTACTTTAAATAGAAAGCGTTTACCTCTGCATTGTATTCCCTCAAGTTTTATGAAAATATGAATATATTTTACATTGATCTAACATAAAAGCTGAAAACAGTGGCACTAAAGAGTCAAATGGTTTTTCCTTCCTTTTGTATTTTGCCAAGAAACTGAAAAATGTTCCTTGGTGTGCATGTATCTTTTTTTTCCTAGGTACACCCACCATTAGCCTTAATAATAGGGTCCCCATGTACCTAAAAGAATATATGCTTCAGTGAAACACAGAGAGGGATGTAAATAAAACATACATACAATACTTAAGCAGTCAATTATATACATATTTGAATTGTATATTTATTTTTAAATGTATTTTTAAAATAAACAATTTACAAGGGACGGAAGGTAGACGTGACTATTAAAATCTAAGAACATAAATTCGTAAGTTGCTGCGCAGCTGTCATAGTCTCTTGATGGAGTCTAAAGATTAAATATTGATTCTTTAATCATTTCTTAAGCTCTTCAATACAGTTTTCTAATTATATTAAAAGACATATTTTGTTTCAAAACACAAAGTCATTTTTACTCAAGGTTTATCCTCTAAGGACAGTAATGATATGATGTGTAATGCCCGTGTTTAACTAATTTGACGAGTAAATTTGTACATTATGTGCAGACTGCCTACTTTGAAATTTGTTTCTGAACTACAGCCTGATAGATGTTTCTGGGTAACTGCGAGTAGCAGTCAACACTGACTTTGCCAGAGTCCTTCAAGGAGTTTGACTTCAGGGTGCTGTTTGGACACAGGATGAATGTTTACAATTTTGTCTTCTCTTCAGTCCAACCTGGGATCTGATACGTTATTTTGGGACTGTGTGAGAATAAAGCCAAGAAGAATCAGTACTCTATATAGAACTCATTTGAACATTTGGACATATTGAGGAAGTTTGCTTTTAAGAAAGAAAATAATTGATACTTCTCTGTCCTCCCAGTGGAATCATTTAGGTGATCTTTACAGTATTTCCATGCTGATCTAGTGGCAAGTTAGCCTGAGTTTGTTTTCCCGGTCTGTAAAGTGGGGATAGAAAAGTAGTTGCCTCCCTTTTCAAAGGCTACTGTAAGGCTGCAGTGAAATCATGCATACAAAAGGGTTTGAAACCTTGCTGGGGTTTGAAAGCTGTATAAATAAAAGATGAAGCCACTCTTCCCTTAAACTTGATACCTCTCCTGTTTTTTCTTCATGTCTGTGGCAAACCCATGCTTAGTCATAAATCTAAACAGTTCTTAACCTGTTTAGAAGTTACATATAAATGTCTAACAAACATACCCACCTACTTTTCCTATTTTACAATCTTTGTTCTCACATTTTTATGGTTGGTTGACAGCATCATTTCAGTTCTATATTACTGATTGCCTTGTTTTGTTTTTACTAAGTAATCCAGACTGGCCTTGAATGCACTTTGTAGCTCAGATAGGCCTTGAAGTCTAGTCTGTTCTTTTTTGTTACCAGGGATTGAACTTGGGACCTTTCACTTGCAAGGCAGGCAGTGGAACCACTGAGCTAAATCCCCAGCCCTAGGCCTTGGAAGTCTAGATACTCCTGCCTTGGTCTCCACTGTGCCCAGATTAATAATTTCATCTGGGTCTATCAGAGAGAGCTAAAGAAGTATGATAACATCTCCAGCTATGATTGTGGATGTGTCTTCTTGGCATTGCCTAGATAGGTTATATCACTAGTGTTACAAACTGGTGATACTCTTAATGACATTTTTCCTTTTTGATTAGCCAGAATATATCTACAAAGAGTAGCTTCGCTCTATCTATTTGGTTACTTTGAATTATAGTTTGAAGGAATAGATAATAATGGCTTTGGAATAATTGCATTTTCCAGACACCTTGGAGAATTTTTTTAAAATACTGCATGTATGAACTTATAAATTATAAAGACTTCCCTCTTAACATTTAACCTTTAATTTAAAGTAGCTGTTTTTCTCTTTACAAGATACTTCTATGTAAATGCAGTGGACCCTTGACTTAGGAACTTAATCATTCCTGGGGGCTGGTTGTAACTCAAGTCGGTTGTAAGTCAATACAGCTGAGATCGCTGGGCGTGGTGGCACACACCTGTAATCCCAGCACTCAGGAGGCTGAGGCAGGAGGATCACTGTGAGTTCGAGACCAGACTGGGCTACATAGTGAGATCCAGGTCAGTCTCAGCTACATAATGAGACCCTGTCAAACCCTGTCTAAAAAAAAAAAAAAAAAGAAATACAGCTGACATCTAGATGTTTACCTGGGTATGCACTACAAGAAGCAGATGAGGGCCAGAGATTTAGCTCAGTAGCGCTGCGCCTGCCTTGCAAGTGCAAGGTCCTGAGTTTCGATCTCCCGTACCAAAACAAAACAAAAACCCAAGAGGCAGATGATTCTTCCATTAACCTAATTAACTCAAGTTGTTTGTATGTGAAGCTGGTCATAACCTGAGGGTCCACTGTACATTATGACCTTCCCTTATTCCTCCTGGTTTTTTGTCATCATTATCGTCAACTATTTTCTCCTGGCCTTTGGCTCTCCCACTCTCCCTCCACCTCCCTCTCCTTCCCTTCTTCTCTTTCTTCCTTAGTTTCTGATTATCATCCTCACCAATTTCACTTTTGTAATTTTTTTCCCCATGTCTCAGGAGCCAGAGCATACCCCACTGGTTTACCCAGTTTGGGGAACTGGCCACAAAAATATTCATTCTGATTGTTTTTACAACCAGTTAGTCTTTTTCAGGCACTACAGGAATACATGCAGAGATACAAGGAAGAAAGTTTGACATGACACCATGAAATGACCACAACGAAGCCAAGCTACTTCATGAAATACAAGACTTTTAGTCAGCTGCAGCCAACCAATACTGTTTGTATATAGCAGACAGCTCAGTGTGTGTGTGTGGGGGGGGAACCAAAACAAAAACTATTTGAAACTAAAATCTTTCCAAATGTATTTTTATTTTTTATTTTTTTAGAGTAGGAAAAATTTATTGAGGGAAAGAAAGCTTCTGTCTAAGAGTGGCAGAAGGGGGACTGGAAAATGGGTTGCTGGCTCACCCCACTTCTCCAAGATGTTTTATACAGCAAAGCCATGTGGTGAGGTGGGTACAAAGTGGGACAAAACTATAAGACCCAATGGAAAATTACAAGGTGAGCATAAGGTGAGCAAAACCATGACCAACCTATAAGATTACACGTACAGTCACCCAGGTAACATTGACTAAATGAAGGTGAAATGGGGGAGCAAGTCACATAGTAAAAGTATATAAGGATTTTCAGTAAGGGTGAGGGGTCAGGGATATTTCCTGGAAAGGCTGGGCTAAGACCTTGGCCCCCCCACCCAGGTGATTGATACCTATTTAGAATATCAGTCACTGCTCTTTATCCCCAGGGGATGCACAATTCTGGCCTTCAGTGAATGTGTCTTGATTGTCCTCCATGTTGGCTCCTAGCTGTGTTGGCTCTTTGAGGGCAGCCCTGTCTAACTGCCTACAAGATATAGAATTAGCTTACCTATCTGCAATATTCCCCCTTCTGAAGAAGTGTCCCTAACTGCTCGGCAGAGGGTGAAGACAGCTTTGGCTACTTCCAGCTGAAGGGGGTCATAGTTGTGATCAACAGTTAAGAGTTACTCTACAGAGGGTCTATCTAAAGGTCTTAGGTAGGTGCCTGACACTGTCATCTTGATAGCTGCATAGTTTTTAAGTCTGGAGGAGTCAAAGCCAAAGAAACAGTTAAGAATGCATGGGCCAAGGGACAGGGATTTAGCTCAGTGGTTCTGCCGCCTGCCTCACAAGCACAAGGATCCGAGTTCACTCCCTGGTACAAAAAAAAAAAATGCATGGGCCGACTTATAAGGTCATCAGCTATGAATATTACCACAAAGAGGATTAAGGTGAAGGTCCAGGGGACTTCAGAATCCAACATAGAAATCGTATTGTTTAGTTTGGCAGTTATGAGCTGTTTACAAGGTCAATCTGGTGGATCCCGGTGAAAGAAGTCTAGCACATTTGTCATTGGTTCCATTTGTTGACCACTTGGAGTTTGGCAACCTCATCCTGGATGCTCTATCTTGAAATCCAGCAGCCATAGGGGAGGGAAGTGTCTTGAATTAAATACTGTTAAGAACTATGTTATTTTTCAGGGGCAGGGCATGGAGGAGGGACAAGAAGAGTGCCTTTAAGTATACACAAGAACTAAATCTTAACCATCTCAGGTGTAGAAAGAAATTTAAGATCACGAGATTTTTTGGGTTTTTTTTTTTTTTTGTTTTTTTGTTTTTTTTTTGTTTGTTTTTTTTTTTGGTACTGGGGAATCACACTCTGGTCCTTGTGCTTGCAAGGCAGGTGGCAGAACCACTGAGCTAAATCCCCGGCCCAATCATGAGTTTTTTTATGGTGGATCTGCAAGCCTTAGCAAAACACATCTTAGAGACAAAAGCTATGATTGACTCCAGTTGTATTGCCAAGCATAAAATCAAACCAATAATCAAAGAACCTGAATGGCTGCTTTTTTGCCTCTTGAAAGAGAATGAAAGTGTTCTAACTATATTGTTTAGGGCTTTTCTTTTTAAATAACTTATTTTGAATACATAATATCTAATTTATGTCTTGAATACCCTGTTGAGCAGCTCTCTGATCTTGTAGAAACATTCCCAAAGCCATGTCTTACCTTTTATTAACATACAAACTGAAACAGTGTCCTCTAGGTAGGCACTTAAAAGTGCTTATTAAAGGTGCATGCCTTTAATCCTAGCACTTGGGAGGTTGAGACAGGAGGAATGCTGTGAGTTCTATCTAGACCAGCCTGGGCTACATAGTGAGTTCCAGGTGAGTCTCAACTACATAGTGAGATCCTGTCTCAAAAACAAAAAAAAAATTTTTTTAAAGTGCTTATTTAAGCTTCTGAAATGAGATCTGGGAACCAGGTTTCTAGGTTAAAATATGGCTGTCATTTGGTTTTTTCTATAGGCTGATAGATGGGTCACACAATCTCATTATATCCTTCTATCTAAAGGCAACAAAAGCCTGTAATTTCTAGAAATCTCCTTAGTGGTTTTAGGATCCTGGGCTGTGGAGAGGAAAGAATTGGTTTAATTCTTTTTTTTTTTTTTAATTTTTTTGGTACTGGGGATTGAACTTGGGACCTTGTACTTGCAAGGCAGGTGATGGAATCACTGAGCTAAATCCCCAGACATAATTTTTTAAAAAATATATTTATTAAGGTTTTGGTTTAATTCTTCCCCAAGTCTTTCTTCTTCTTTGGGTTCCCTTAGATATAATAAGGCCGAAGTATTTTACCTCAAGGCTGCAAAGTTGTGCCTTACACCTAGAAACCTAACCTCTGTTAGAAAATTCAGCAGAACACAGGTGTCTTGGCTAGAAAGCTCTTCTGAGTGAGCACGTACACTATACCATCTGCATATTGCAAGTGTGAGACCTGACTGAGCTAAAGTGATTCCATGTTGAATGAGTAATGGCCCCAGAGGCCGTTGTGCACCACTCCCCTTTGTATCTGCCCCCCTACCTATGTTTGAACCTTTGCTTGAGAATGTAAGACTGCATAACTTTGTGTAATCTTTATTGCATAACTTTGTGATCTTAAATTCCTAGCCCCAACTGTGAATAATGTGAGTTAATGGGCAAATTCTTAAGAGTTCTGGAAAATGAGATAAGATCTGTGCAGTATACAGAGACCCAAAGTTAATTGTTTTACTGCTTGCTTGTCTGAAATGCCTTAGAGACCCTTGTAAGCATCTTTTAATCATCAGCATGTGATTGCTGAGTACGTGGCTGCTGACCAGCAGACCAGTAGTAGCCTTTGTCCCCTGCCTCCAGGCTTTGAATGTTAAACCCCCCTTATCCCTCTTATAAAAAGGACCTCAGCCCCTGAGCTAGCGCCTCTCTGAGCTACTCAGCTCTGGGAGTGCCGTCTGGTCAGACTAATGAAGGTCTGTTTGCTTTCCAACTTGTCTGGTGTGTTCCTTCTCGGGTGAATCTCGTGGCTGTTGAGCTCTTCAGAGCGGTAATTTTGAGCTCTTCAGAGTGGTATTGAGCTCTTAGGAGCGGTAGTAAGGCCTTAGGTCTTACACAAGGCTGACTTGGGAAAAACTATAGTATTTCCTTTTATCAAATCAGGATCTAGGGATGTCTTCATCTCTT